GTGAGGCTCAGTTGTTTGAGCATTGTCCTGTGCACCAAAAGGTCGCCAGTTCGATTCCTGGTCAAGGCACATACCCAGGTTTCAGTTTCGATCCCTGGTCAGGATGCTGCGGGAGGCATCCAATCAGTGTTCCTCTCTCTAAAAGTCAATAAAAAAATATGTTTTAAAAAACAAAGCTGCTACTACTCCTCCTCAAGTCGGTGTTGCAGCAGTATGTCAGCCTTTGATGAATGAGCATTTTAGAAGTTAATGCTCACTTCCCACTCTCTTAAGGCATCCATGTTTATTTCTAACATGTGTGAGACTACTTACCGTGGTTCAGGGATCCCTCACACACAGGAGTAGCCAAGATCTCAGGGTGGGACAATGGACATGGCCAGGACAAAGCCAGCCCCAGGCCAGGCCTAGCCAGATGGTGGGCATGTGACTGACCTTCTGCTTGCATGTCACACAGGATGCACTAGCCCCCTCCTCAGAGCCACTAGGGACAGACCCAGGGCCCTCATTCCTTCTCCAGGAAGAGGGAAGAGCAGGATCTGGCTCTAACCTGTTCACTCACTTCCTTTCATGAGGGGATTCCCTCACCAGACCTCTTGCTCACCCTCACTCCTTGCCTGGGACCCCTGAAAGCAGAGGCTCACGGAGGCACAAAGCAGGTTTCATCTGTCCGGCTCTCAAGGACACCCAGGGGCCTGGCCTCCGGGCCACTTCTCACAGGCCCATGTTCCTCTAGTCCCCACCTGATCTGTTAAAGAAGAAAAGCCCTTTTCAGGATGCCCTCATCTTCCAACACAGTTCAGGGCAAGCTGTGCTAGGCACACTGGGCTTCAAAAAACAGCCTCGGCCAGGCCCAGTCCCCTCCAAGTGTTTCATGCTACAGACATACATGTGGCTGTGGTCTGTGCCCTGCCAGTGCCAGGCACTCGGGTCTGGTGGCTCAAAGCTCACTGTCCAGCAGAGGCCTGCCTGTGACCCAAGACTGTGAGCACCATAGGAGGCCGAGGCCAGAGCTGCCCAGGCAGGGTCCCAGGGCTTGGCCCTGGGCACAGCTTTGCCTGAGCTATCTCCCTGTAAGTGGGGACAATGGGGATGGTGAACCCAGGAGCCCAGGGTTTTCATAAAGATCAACTTGGCACATGGCAGGAGCTATGAAATATAAGGGGGGCTCTGATGCTGGACCAGCAATCCTGTCTGATGAATACCACAGCCAACAGGTCAGTCCTGCACACTAACTGTGAACCAGACAGGTTAGTGCTGCCCCAGGAGGGAGGATGGCGCCCATGCCTAGATTAGGGTACCTGGGGCCCTGAGGGGTGGCACCCACTAGAGGCCTCATCTCAGATCTGGGCCCGGCAGGGGCCCACATTTGAGGTGTGCTAGGCCAGGACCAAAGGTTCCAGGGAGTCGTGGACTGCCTTCCTGGAGAATGGGGTTTGTGCTCAGGGTCCCACTGGGCAGCAGGAGAATGCCACTGCTGGGTGTGAACACATGTCCGAAAAAACTTACAAAATGGAGAACCGAAAGTTGGCCCTTCTCCCAGGCAGCCTGGCCCATGGGCCATACCAAATGGAAGGGAAAGGGGGCACATTCTGGAATGTACCACTGGCTTCCTCCATCACTGCCCCTACATGATAACCCCGAGTCCAAGTACAGAGAAAGGCCCAGGACAAGCCCCTCACAGGAACCTGGCATAGAGAGTAGTAGTCTCAGCAGACTGCCTCACTAACGTCAACATCAGGCACTGGGGGGGGCGGGGGCCTCAACTTAAATTTTCAGAATCCTTTCTATCATGGAGTGGAACTAGCACTGCATGGTCTATATGCAAGGGATCAACTATTCATTATAAGATGACAATTTTCTCTCGACATAGTCTATAAATCTAAGCAATCTTTGCAAAAAAAGGCCAGGGTAGGGGCAGTAGATAAGCCCATCTGAGGTTGACAAGAAAAAAGAACCTGCAGGAGTGGGGAGAGGAGACCAGGCCTCTAGACCTCAGTGATCAAGACTGTGGGGCTCAGGCTAACTGGGATGACAGCTTAGAACAACCCACATGAGGCCAGGGCTCAGCATACCATAAAGATGGCACTTCAGTGGGGAAAGACGGCTTTTTCAGGACCTGTAGTTGGGCAAATGATTTGGAAAAAAGCAGTTTGCGTTCTTACCTCACTCCTTCTAAGGAGTACTTTCTAGAATTAGACCAAAATTTAAATAATTTTTTTAAAAAGAAACTATTACATTTCCAGAAGAAAATATCAAATGTTATATAATCGTGGAGTAGAGAAAATATTTCTGAGCATGACACAAAATGCAGAAGCCACACATGAAAAAACTAATAACTTTAAATATCTGGAAAAATAAGTAAATTTGAAGACAAACAAAAAGGCACAATCCAAGTCAAAGACAAATGACAGAATGAAAAAAAACACTTTAACAGACAATGGGCTAATTGCCTTAATATTGAAAGTGTGCCTAGAAGAGAATAACACCAACAACCCAATAGAAAAGTGGGCAAAGAATATGAAATACGAACAGCTTTTTGTTGGTGGTGTTAATCCTCACCCAGGGGTATTTTTCCCCCACTGATTTTTAGAGAGAGTGGAAGGGAAGAAGGGAGGGGGAGAAAGAGAGAGAGAAACACCGATGTGAGAGAGACACATCGATTGGTTGCCTCCCACATGTGCCCCAACTGAGGGGCCAGGGATCAAACCTGCAACCTAGGTATGTGCCCTTGACCAGGAACTGAACCCACGATCCTTTGGTTTGCAGGCCGACACTCTAACCACTGCGCCACACCGGCCAGGGCCAAACAGTTTTTAAATATAGGCATGTTTATAATAAATATAGGTCTTTCCAGTTTCAAAATGGTAGAAATGATCAACATAAAAAAATAAATCTGACAGCCCAGCCAGGCATGGCCCAGTGGTTGAGCATTGACCTAGGATCCAGGAGATTGCAGTTCAATTCCCGGTCAGGGCACATGCCCAGGTTGCAGGCTCGATCCCCAGTCGGGGGCATGCAGGAGGCAGCTGATCAATGACAACTCTCTCATCATTGATGTTTCAGCTCTCTCCCTCTCCCTTCCTCTCCCTGAAATCAATAAAAGATATATATATTTTTTTTTATTTTTTTATAAAACTTGCCATTTTAACCATTTTTTAAAAAATATCTTTTATTGATTTCAGAGAGAGGAAGGGAGAGGGAGAGATAGAAATATCAATGATGAGAAAGTCATTGATTGACTGCCTCCTGCACGCCCCCCTGCTGGGGATCAAGCCTGAAACCCAGGCATGTGCCCTGACCGGGAATTGAACTGCAATCTCCTGGATCCTAGGTTGATGCTCAACCGCTGAGCCATGCCCAGGCGGGGGAAAAAATATATATATATATATATATTTTTTTTAAAAAGGTAAAAAAAAAAATCTGACAAAAGCATTGAGATCCATTTTACTTCTAGGAAACACAAATAAAGCTACAACGAAACACTATTTTATGCCTACCAGTTCTGCAAGATCAAAAAATGGGGGACACTAGTCCCTTCCTTTGTTGGGAGGGGGACAATTTGGTATGACTGGTTAATAGGTTATGTACCCAGTTAGAGATCTATGGAAGAAAGCCTTTCAACCTAGCACTTCTGCACCAAGGAATTCAGCAACAGAAATATTCCTACTTGGCCATAAATATAGTAAACCTAGCACTACTTGTTACAAGACTAGAAATAACCTAAACTTCAACCAACAAGAAACAGGGTAAATAGGCAGTACTAATAAAATATGGTACAGCCATTAAAACAAATGAGTCCATAGAAAACACTCTCCAAGCGGGACCACATGAACAGTGAGTAAGGTTTTGTACAAATGCAACAGATATACGTGCATAGTATTTCTCTGTTGATACATGAGAAACTGGTTTATCTCTGCCCCAGGGGAGGGGGAACCAGGCCTTGGAGGTCAGGGGTGGGAATGATACTGAGTTTTCACCCGACACCCTTCCATATTCTGAACTTTTTACTCTATGTATCTGAAAACATTTTTGTTCAGTTGTAAGCAGTTTCTTTGAACTTGCTGTATTGTGGGGTCCTGTCTCTCAATAAACTTACATTCTGATAGGATGAAAGACAACATGCTCTGTGACAAATGCAGTGGCCAGGGGTAAGTGGGACCACGGGTCAGAGGGGTAAGAAGGGTTGCTTTGGGGAAGCAACTGAAGCAAAAGACTGAGAGGAAGTTAGACTTAAGAAAAGTTAGCTATGCTGGGAGCCTTGACAGAAGACCAGAGTTTAGTGAAGGTATATCAGGTTCAAAGAACAGTCTGTGCAAATGTCCTGGGGTAACCGGGCAACCAACCAAGAGCTAGAACCACAGGTGTTCTCTGCTTTAGTGAGTACACATCTCAGGTTTAGTCTGGCTTCTAAACATCCCGTATTATCAAAAATTACCCCAGATTCCTTGCAAGAGGGGCCCGTGGGGCTTGGGAGGGCCAAAGCCACCAGCAGCTTCCCCACCCACTCCCAGGCCAGGGCACTTTCCAGTGATAGAGAAGGGTGGGACAGGACTCCATAGACTCAAAGGCTGGGTTACTCAGAGGCCAGGATACCGGAGCAAGCCTGGATGGACCACAGAGCCAGGGGTCGGCAGAAGAGGCGCCTCCCACGTAACCCCCGGTGAGTCACCTCCGGTCGGGCAGTGACACTCTTTATGCGCCCGGCAGACCATTCTAAGCTCTCTGAGCACCCAAGCCACTCATTCCCCATTACGAGCAACAAAAAGTTCTGCGGAGCAAAGTATTAGGAGGCCAAACACAGCTGGACTGACGGGGAGCAAGCTTGATCCCGCCAAGTGTCAACACTGAGATAGGCGTAGGCACGCGTTCCGACCCCGCAGCAGCGCGTTCTGCACGTGGGGAGGTTAAGGCGCGTGGGGACCGAGGGGAACCGTCGGAAACGGCGGACAGGCGGAAAGGGCAGGGGCCAGCCGCGCGGGGTCCGAGCCTCCGCCACTTACCCGCGAGGCCGCGGCCTCCTCGGGTCCGCAGCCGTTCTGGGACAACGTCCCGCCACTTCCGCCTCCGCCTGGGCCATGCACGTGATGCAACTGCCCCGGGACTCCCCCTGGCTGGGCCCAGGCTGAAGCACCGCCCCCTCTTAAAGGGGCCACGCTGGCCCCAGCCGGTCTCAGTGGTTAGAGCTGTCAGCGTGGGCCCGCGGACTGAAGGGTCTCGGTTGGATTCTGGTCAAGGGCACATATGTTGGTTGCAGGCTTGATCTCTGCCCCGGGTGGGGCGCCTGCAGAAGCAACCAATGGATGTCTCTCTCACATCTATGTTTCTATCTCTCTAAAGCTCTCGGACAAGCAAAGGAAAAAATGTCCTCCGGCGAGGATTAAAAAAAAAGGGGAGGGGGGCGCACAATGCCATAGGCCTCAGACTAGGGCCAGGTGGAAACAAGCAGCTCTGGGTCCTGGCCCCGCCACCTCCTGGTTCTGCAACACAAGCTAAATTGCCGGCAGGCCCGGAGGTGGACGATAGGCCATTCCTTTCTGAGGTCTTCCCAGCTCTAGGGCTTTGTCCCTGGAGGTCCCAAGAGGAACTCTGGGCCTAGTGGTGAGCCCGGCCTCCAGCTAGGGTCCAGAGAGACCCAGTATCTCAAGGGCACCCCAGGCAAACACAGTCCAAAGTCCCCCGTCCCCCCGCCCCCGGCCGTGTTCCGGAAACCCAGCCCCCAGGTGGCCCCTTTCCTGGGAAAGACTCCACAGGGCCCTCAGACCTGCCACTGCCGCCCTCCCCGGGCTTCAGCCTCCCCATTTGCAAAGGAAGTGACCTGGCCCAGCCTCTCAGGACCCCGGTGAGCCGTCTTGGCCATCAGTGCAGCCCACCCACCAGGACAGGCAAGACAGGAAGAGCAGCCTTGTGATTATCTACCAAGTCCTTATCTACCAAGGGAGCGATTGTGCAGTGTCCTTATCCATCATGGGAGCACAAGAGTGCCTCACTGGGACCCCAGAGCAGGCAGAGCAGACCCACTGTGGCCACTCACCACCACCCCAAGGAGGAGCACCCAATTTAGGCAGGTGCTGCCCGCCCCCCATCACCGACACGGAGAACATCAAACTCAAGCAGTGCTCTGCTTGGGACCTGAACCCTACCCCCTCTACTGCTGGGAAAGTGATGGCATCTGTATTTGTGAACTTTCCTGGGGGGTTAGGGGCAAGCCCAGCACCTTCTGAGAACTTGCTGAGCCCTGGGGAATGCACACATGAGCCCATGAAAACAAGGAGAGGAACGCTAAAATTTTAAATCTTTAATTTGTTTTCACGTTTTTCCTTCGTTTTGCTTCAAAAAGGAGCGCGTGGCTCTGCCACTTGCACATCGTCCACACCCCCTGGGCCAGGGCAGTTCCGACCTCATTGCAGGCCAGCTGCCTCGGGGAACCGGGGCACACGAGGGGTACACATGCAGCCCCCGGGGCCGGGGCTGGTGCCGCCTTATTGCTGAGGTCTGTCCCAGCTTGGCTCGAGGTGCAGCGGCTCCACTAGGCGCGCTGGCTGGGTAGTTCCTGGGAGATGAAGCGGCGCAGGCGCTCCAGGTACTGGCTGTAGAGCTCAATGTCGTTGTGCCCGGCGCCCTCCACCCACAGCGGCTCCACGGCCTTGGGACAGCGCTCATAGAGCGCCAGCCCATGCGAGAAGTCGATCACCTCGTCCTCCGTGCCGTGGATGATAAGCACTGGCGAAGTGATCTTGGACACCTTCTCGATGCTGCAGGGTGGGGCGAGTCAGGCCTCCAAGCCCCGCCCCACCGAGGCCCCGTCCCCACCCAGGTTCCCAGGGCAGCCCAGCGCTCACTTGGGGAACGCGTCGAAGCAGTAGGTTTTCTTGGTGTCTGGGAAGGCAACACGCATGCCCGAGGTGAGCGGGGAGTGCAGCACCACCGCGGCACACTCGTAGCGTGAGGCCAGGTCCACCGTGGGCACTGTGCCGATGCTCTGCCCATACAGGACGATGCTATCCGGGCTGATGCCGTACCTGGCAGCGGGGCAGGGTCAGCTGCAACTACAAAACTCCCTTCCCACAGCCCTCCCTCCTTGGGCAGTCAGTCCCCCATTCTACTCCGGCAGCTCTAGGCAATTAGGCTGGTCCCAGGGACCCTCCCCTGGCCCCCAACAGAGGTGCTCCACTTAGTAGGTAGGCAGGGCCGCCCCACAGGTGTGAAGGCAGTTGCCCTCACCCTCACCCTACCCCTTTCCACCAGGACCACAGCCCCAGGTCATCTAGCTCTACCCTCAGTTTCTCCAACAGGATCTACTTCCTCAGGAGTAGGGAGTGCACCTGGTGAGGGCCCCACAAAGGCTACTGGGGGAAGGGTAGCCCTGGGGCCTCTCTTACTTCTCCAGGTAACCCTGGCCAGGGCCACATCCAGATTCTGCTTGGGGTTTTCCTAACCCTGCTGTTCTGGACTAGATAGCCCTCCTGGTAGCAATGGGGGAAGGGGCTGTCTTCCTCCCTGCACCCCCTTTGCTGTAGGATATTGAGGCAGCTGTCCCCATGTCTCGCCCCATGGTGTCCCCCATGCCCAATTAAGTGCCTAGTATAACACTGGTAAGTATTTATCCACTGCTGTGGGGAGACGGGTGGGTGTTAATTCCTTCTGCCACCTTCCCTATGTAATGGCCAAGTCCTGGGCCTCCCTCCTCAGCACCAACTCCCACCACCTTCAGGCCCCAGCCCCTTCCCCTGCTCTGCCACCTCCTCACATGCCTCCCCTCAGGTCCCCCCAGCACAGCTGATCCAGCTCCAAGCCAGCTCCACGGCCCCTACATGCCTATTCCCAACCACACTGGGACCCATTTGCCACCCTCCCCATGCAGGTGGCCTCCAAGGCTCTCCTCCAACACATAAGACCCCAATCCCAAAGGGACATCCCTCTTCCCAGTGGGCAGGGGCCAGGGCAGTTCTGCATCTCACCTGAGGAACATACGTGAAAAGCCAGACTCCACCTCCCTGTCCTACAGGGTCGTCCCCACCTGTCCCTGTCCTGGTGGCACTCCAGGTTAACCCCTGCCTACTCCCAGACCTCAGGGATGCCACCTGGCCACTCCTCCCCAGCCTGCTCCCAGGTTGCCATGGCCACTGCTGAGCTGAGCACCAACACAACCCAGCACCAAGCAGGGACCCCCAGCAGCCCCTGGACATCTCCACCTGAATAAACTCAACAGGTGCCAGGTAGAGTGACTCTTCTCCCCCAGGCCTCCCCAGCCCAAATACTGCTTGGGCCCAAGCCTCCTGCTGCCTCTAAGCTGTTGGAGCTTAGGGGCCAGATCTCCGGAAGTCAGTGCTGGTGAAAAGACAGATAGACAATGGACAGAGCTCAGAGCCCTCACCCCACAGCAGGGTATGATTCTGCCAGCAACCCCCAGCACAAGCAGGGACAGCAGGAAGGACTGAGGAAATTGAGGGCAGGCATGTACCTGTACCATACCACCCAAGACAGGTCCTTGGTGCCAGGGGGCCCTGCTCCCAGGGCCTGCCAAAGAGACTGCTTGGTGCATCACTATGAGCCCCATCTCCCCAGGGCAGACTGACTTTGGCCCCTGAAGGAGAGGGTCCAGCAGGTCAGCCAAGCAGGGCTAAGGTAGGGCATTCCCCATCACACAGTGGATAAGGTGCCACCTCCAGGAAGGCCAGAATTGACCTCCTTCTAGAGTAGTGCTGGGAACACAGCAGCATGTTGCAAACTCTGACTCAGACAGAATGAATGTGCTTCAGTCATTGAGTACTAGGGTGGGAGGGGTCTGCCCAGGATCTAGATGACCAAGATGGTAGAGGTCCAGAGAGTGAATGGCCCTGTCTGAGTCAAGCATGTGGGTATGTCCTCTGTTTGCTGATCTCCCATCAGCCACCAGAGCTGTACTGGGCACCAAGCTGCCCAACAGAACCTTCTAGACCTAGAGGAGCCCCACCCCACCCACTGCCCCCAGGATGAGGTCAAGTTCCATGGCCACAGTGCCTCAGGCCTGCCCCCAGAACCCCAATGCAGCAACCCAGCCCAGCCCTGTACCCCACCCCCCATGTGCTCCCTTGGCCTCCAGGCTCTACAGTTCATTCACACCCAGCCCAGCCCTGTACCCCACCCCCCATGTGCTCCCTTGGCCTCCAGGCTCTACAGTTCATTCACACAGCCCTCACATGCTACCTCCTGAGCCCAAAGTCCTCTGCCCAACACTTCTTCCCGGGGGGAAACCTCCACTCCCCTGGGGAAAGCTCAGGCCATCTCCATCCCTCACCAGGGAGATTCGAGGACTGCCCACATGCCTGCTTGCACACCAAGCATGCCTGTTACCACACTGAGGGGACAGGGCTCAGGCCTTATCTTCTGGACTACTGTGGCCAGTGACAGTTTCCCTCTCCAGCAAGGCCACCCACCAGGACGTGGCCCAGGCTTCCTCCCTCCCCAGGGACGGAGGCCCAAGTCCTTGGTGGGCACCTTCCAACCCATCCTATTTCACAGGGTCTGGTTCCCCCCAAGGGGACACTCTAGGTTGACCAAGTCCCCAGCACACATCTCACCGGGTGCGCAGGGCCTGCCAGGCAGCATCGATGTCGGCGTAGAGGTTCTTCTCAGAGGGCCTGCCCGAGCTGACGCCATAGCCCGAGTAGTCATAGGAGAAGATGTTACAGTTGATGCGTGTGCCCAGGCCTATGTAGAAGCTGCTCATCTGGCCCAGGTCCACTGCGTTGCCATGTGAGAAGAGGACTGTGTACCTAGGAGATGGGAGAAGACAGGTCAGAGGACAAGAAGAGATAGGACTGCTGTTGGAGGGGACAGGCCGCCTGTGACAGAGTAGCCCAGTTCCTCCCACCTGTGTGATCTCGGGCAGGGAACGGCCTCAGGCTTCTCCTCTATGAAAGGGGGCACAGGGACCTTTGGTCACATTCTGAGCACAGGGCAGGCCCAGCTGCCTCTCTTTGGGTCTACTCCTCTCAAAGGGACTCAGACAACCCCTGAAGATAGCAGGCACATGGGCCCGCTGCTCAGAGCCTTCCTGGAGAATGAGACAGCTTCTCAGCCAACAGTGCTATCTCCTCTCCTCCTGATAGCTGGCCCCTGCCCCAGCCCCACAAGTGAATAAAGCCAACCCCTGTTCACAGTGGTTNAGCCCTCACATGCTACCTCCTGAGCCCAAAGTCCTCTGCCCAACACTTCTTCCCGGGGGGAAACCTCCACTCCCCTGGGGAAAGCTCAGGCCATCTCCATCCCTCACCAGGGAGATTCGAGGACTGCCCACATGCCTGCTTGCACACCAAGCATGCCTGTTACCACACTGAGGGGACAGGGCTCAGGCCTTATCTTCTGGACTACTGTGGCCAGTGACAGTTTCCCTCTCCAGCAAGGCCACCCACCAGGACGTGGCCCAGGCTTCCTCCCTCCCCAGGGACGGAGGCCCAAGTCCTTGGTGGGCACCTTCCAACCCATCCTATTTCACAGGGTCTGGTTCCCCCCAAGGGGACACTCTAGGTTGACCAAGTCCCCAGCACACATCTCACCGGGTGCGCAGGGCCTGCCAGGCAGCATCGATGTCGGCGTAGAGGTTCTTCTCAGAGGGCCTGCCCGAGCTGACGCCATAGCCCGAGTAGTCATAGGAGAAGATGTTACAGTTGATGCGTGTGCCCAGGCCTATGTAGAAGCTGCTCATCTGGCCCAGGTCCACTGCGTTGCCATGTGAGAAGAGGACTGTGTACCTAGGAGATGGGAGAAGACAGGTCAGAGGACAAGAAGAGATAGGACTGCTGTTGGAGGGGACAGGC